CCAATTATTTCCAAAGTCTCTTACAGAAGATGTGTTATTATTTCCCCTCTAATCATGAAATGTCTAAAATGTCCTTTGCAATGTATGTAAGAAAAACTCCAATACAGATAATTATACTGATAATCCTTTCCTGGAACCATAGGCTTAGCTTTTTTTCAGAAACCAATCTTGTTTTTCCATCCCCTTTGTTATATCTAAAAATATTGTCATTGTGATGCCGATTTGCTCCGGTCCACCTACACAGGCACACTTCAAGTTGCTACTTAATTAACGTTTGTTAATTATGATCACACAACATGTTTGTTCTGAAAAACAACATTCACCCACAGAGTAAAACCTCTCACTTAAAGAGGGTGGGTGTTTGCTGTCGGGGCTTGAACCCTGCTGCTGTTGTTGAAGGTTTGTTGAACTGCTTTCCTCTCCTCTCTGCAGTCAGGGAAGAATGTTGGCAACTGTTCAAACAAGGAATTACTTTGAACAGCTTGTTCTCTCCCGACAGCACGCTGATGTTGTTATGAAATGTGGGAAAAACATCAAATGTTCTCTGAACCTGCACTTAAGAAAAACAGTCCTGAAGAAAACACAAAGGTGCTGGCTTTCCAATGTGAAATATATCGAGATGTTTGTGACAGCGCAGATGGACAGTTTAGAGAAAACAGCTGCATAAACATGATAACTAATCCTTCATGCAACTGACCAGCTTTTAGACGAGCAAATGGCCTGTCATCAATTTGGAAAATATTTTAAGCACTAAAAAAACAATAACTCTTGTTTCCATTTTTGGTTTAAAGCTTTGTGCAGACGGATGAGAAATGAGACTTCCAGTTATTCAAACATCCATGTTCAAGACTAGCTGTTACCGGCTAGATGTTTGTTGTACCATCTCTTCGTGTATTCATATATGCTGCAAATGTAAACGCTGACTAATATAAAGCAGCTGTCACCTTAACCATGTTTACCGCCATAGCTTTGCGTGTCAGTTTTGCAAGCATTTTGTCATAAAATGAAGTATGTTAACACGTTTAAAATCGACCCAATAGTTGCTAGTGTATAAGTGTAAATATTTAAAGTGATTGGGGTTTTTTAGTTTGTTCTAACCTAGCCAATTGTTTTGGTCATTTAGTCTTTAGAACTTTTTAAGATTTTATTGGGATGTTATTGGTGAAATGTAAAGTGAAATCTTTATGTGTCAACATCCACTTAGTAGACACTTAACATTAAATCATTATAACAAGGCTTAATTTGAACAGCTGGTGCTCCTGGTCTGGCATTATTTACAGAAACACTGAAACCAGGGGGTTATGGCTTACGACTGACAGGAGTATAGAGAATATCTGTTCCAGGAATTTTCAAAGGATCATATATTCTTTGTTTTTCCATGACACACTGTTTGCAGGCCTTGTATGTTCTTTCTCAGCAGTGCTTCATATTTAGACGCTACACAGCACAGCTGCCGAGAACAAACCAGCTTCAGACTGACACCAAGTCCTGAAGGTTGTTCAGCAGTAAGGAAATGTTATAAATAATCCAGTAGCGTACACACACTTCTATAACCTTTGACTGGTTAAAAGAGTTTAAACTGTCAAATATTTGTAATTCATACTCAGTCACAAAAGAATGTTGGTCTATCTGGGCATGTGGTTCAATAAAGTAATCAAACAATTTTACCGCTGGCATCAGTTTTTATGGTCCAATTGAGTCCAAACCTTTTATTGGACACGTAAATGTCTGCATGCCACAAATGCCCTGATGTCACAAAGTGACAGACTGCTTTCTAATTGCTTCACAGAGAGGAGTCATGGTCCACAGCCAGCCAAGGCCACCGTAAGGGCTCAGTTCTTGTTAGCAAATCAGTTTGGGTATAGGACTGAAAGTAGTTTGTTGTGCTCCGGTTTCTATGGAAATCCTCCCTGACAATTATCGTCTCTGCTCACCCAGGGTATTTCTGACAAAGCAGCTGCATCAGTGCTATTTCAAGCGTGTTCTTTTTCCCGAATGCACTGAATGGATCATTGTAAAGAGAATCCATATCTTCAGATTAAGCTTTAGCCTATGTGGTTCTTTTAACAGTGAGGAAAAGTCTGGTTACGTTAAATGTTTGACAGTTACAAGATGTTTGATATTACCCAGAGCGGGAAAATCTGACTGAATGTTCCCATTTACTGCAGTAGGATAAGCATTGTAGTACCGTTGACTGACATTCATCCACACACTCAATAGATACCATCCTGAGCTCACCCTGACTGTTTGTCGAAACGAAGGATGTTTGTACTTTGTTGGACTTGAGCCCTGCATAGCAACTCTGTTTTCCCTGGCAACAAATGTTTGAGGACACAGTTCAGCCTTCAAGACGCTAAACACTTTGCAGGTTGTCCAAGCACAAAGGGATGGGTGCTGGCTTTTCAGATGGAGTTGAAATGAATGGAGCAGCAGGTATAGAATATGAACCCAGGTGGTAATACATTTGCTTTGGACTCATCAAAGTTGACCGCAGTGCTGAACAGAGGGCTAGTTTTTCCATTACAGGGCGTTAGGTATAAGGTTGTTGGTGACTCGTGTGTTTCAGTAAATCATAAACCAATTACATTAAAAGAGACGGCTGGCTTGGTGCTTTGAGGCCATTGGCTTTGGTTATTGTGTTACCATTAGAGGTGGACCACTGTGCTCCAGCCTCAGCAATCTCATCATGTCAGAGCCTGCCACTGTACTGTAGTTGCATGAAAGCTAAAATCAATACTAAGCGAGTCTATGCGACATAAATAAATAAGAAAAATAAATAAATAAACAAGCAATAGTATAATTACGCAATAGACAATAGATTATATTTAATGGGATTTTAGTGGCATGGGACAATAAATAAGAACATTTTAGCCTCAACTCAAAAACCATTAAGACCAACATTGACCTACATTCATCCATTAATATTCCAAACCACAACAAAAAATAAACTAGAAAAAAATATCCTCTGACCTCATTGCTCATACCTCTAAATATTTCAAGGCATTTAGCTTTCTCTCAATTTACAGGGTCTCGTGCTCTTGACCTGAGACTGAACTGAATTGCAATGAGCCTATCCTGGACCTAATGGAAGATAATTGCTTTAGCTTGCACATGCCAGCAAAATCAGATAATTGCATGTTCCATAATAAAGGGCTGCTTTCATTAGGGAAATATGGATTGGAATGTCCATGATGAAGGCAATAAGGTTTGCATTGATATGAGACTGCCGTTAGGAGTGTGTGTGTACAGTTTCTCCAGGCTTACTGAGTACTTTTACAATACCAGAGTTCTGTTGAGTACCATTACCAAAGTGATAAATACTCATACTGTATCTAGCTCTGCTCCCAACTGTTCCCTCTGTAGTAAAATTGGCGTGTTTTACTATCTCGTAATTTATGACATTTGGGATAAACAGGAAACAAGGCCTGATTTAAAAGCATGTCCAAAATGATAATGTCCCCAAAAAAGCGAAAAGAAGTCATGCCCTTATTGATTTATGTTGAACACATCATTTCCCTTAGTTCTATTGGCGAAACAAAATGGGTACCACTTTACAATAAGACTACCCTTATAAAGGGTTTACGAATAGTTTGTAATTCATTTATTAATTAGGTTGTGAACACTTTATAAATCATTAATAAGCTTTTATAAGACATGAGATAAACAGGGCAACTGTGACCGGTTGCTTGCCAAATAGTGAGCCCACATTTATCTGTACTGCTAAGCCTTATATTGGCTACTTAGCTTACTTCGTCGTCTTCATCAGCCAGCATCCTTGGTATCTGTTGTTCACTGAGTTGATTCTCGCTAAGTAGCCAATATAAGGCTTAGTCATCTTGCCAAATAGTGAGCCTGTGTTGATGTATTAAAACTATGTTAGAACTGGTTTATAAATGGCAGAGGTGGGAGTAAGTCCTACATGAGCAAATCATGAGCAAGTCTCAAGTCTTGACCTACAAGTATCAAGCAAGTCCCAAGTCACTGTGGTGAGAGTCAAGCAAGTCAAGTCAAGTCATTGCTCAGGTCAAGTCAAGTCAAGTCAAGTCATACGAAATTCTGATGAATAAGCCCAGTTTCCACATTTAAATCAGTTAAAAGACAGTGGTTATGAAAATGGATTTAACCCACACTATGATCTTCATTACATACACAGTTAATCATTTGAAATCTAATTTAGACCGATCACAATCATATTAGATTAATATTAACCCTCGAACTGCAGACAATATAGCTAGGACTCAATCAAAAAGTCTGTTCAAAAAGGCAGAATTCCAGATAAGAAAATCATATATGGCATTTGCCATTACACATATTTAATTTAAATTTCTGTTAACACTAGAACCGCCAACAGCATCAGCACCTACATAGATATCATTTTCAAATCATTGAATTTGTTCCTCTTCATAATTTCCTTATAAACTAAGTAGGACGATTTAAAACTCACTTAATTGGGTTAATTTAGAAATTGCTTCAGTTTATCATCATAACAGATCAAAAAGTTCAGATTCATTTTACAATAAATCAAGGAATGATGCACTTCTACAAACAAAAACAACATAATTAAAACATTTAAACAAACTACTAAAAGTAGATGAACTACATGATTCAACAGTTTACAGTAACTTCTGATAATAACACAGGGGAAATAAACGAGGCATCTCTTTCCCTCTCTCTCTCTCCCTCTCCTGACGGCCCGTCAGTATCAGGGTTAGTCAAAATGAATCCCTTGGCGGTTCTAGTGTTCATTTACCATTCTATTTCGTATATGGCTTCGCCCTCTAAGGCTATCGCTATTGGGTAATCCCCCTGCGCACCCGCGCAGCACTGAAAACACTTGTAGTCCACGCCCGCCCGCAAGGTGGGCCCCACCCTCGGGCTCCCTTCCGGTATAAATAGGAAGGAGGCCCGACAATCTGCTCCCTCTTTTTTTTCAGCACCCCGTTACTGAAGCACTGAGACACGTAATATATCCGAGAAACATGAGCAACAATTGTGTCAAGGAAAAGCGCGTACGCGGCTCTCAGCCAGCAGGTCGCATGCCAGCACTGTGCCCGTCTCCCCTCGGCCGACAGGAAGCGTAGAGCGGACGCTCTCGCTGCTGCGACCAAGGAGGACGATTGGCCCATCCACGGGCTCGTGGATGGCAGCCTCGTGCCCCTGGAGCCGAGTGCCGGGCAGGAGTCGGACGACTCCTACCCCATCTCCCTCCACGGTTCACCGTATGGTTCTCCCCTCCCTCCTCTCCCCCGGACGGGGGAGACAGAGTCGGAGCAGGGTGTCGACTTGGCCGAGCACGCGGTCCCCTTCTCCGTCACCACGGCGCTGCCGGCGATAGGTGGCATCTTGCTGGAACTGCCGGGGATCATTTGCAAGGCGGCCGCCTGCAGAGGTCTCCCCGTTCCCCTAGCTCAGGAGAGGAGTGCTCCGGACGACATGGCCGGAGTTTTTTCGCGGGTGCAGACGGTCAGGAGTGACCCGATCTGGCCACGCTTCCCCGCCATCAGGAGGTACCAGGAGGGGGCGGCGGCGAACCCGAGGACTCTGAAGGCCCCGGTGGCCACATTTGTTCCCCTCACCAAGGTGGAGGGTTTTACAGATGTGGGATTCCCAGCCACCCCTTCGCTGGAGCCGGGCCTGACGGCGTTTTTTGGGGTGAGGCAGGCCAACATGATCGCCGGACGGCGCCCTACGTTGGCCTCCCCCAGGGACCAGTATGTTGCCCGCCAGGCCGACCGGGTGCACCAGTGTGCCTTTCAGGCGTCGGCGGCGGCAAACAACATCGCGCTGCTGTCCAACTCGGTGGTGACGCTGGTGGAGCGGTCCACCACCTTGGCCGCTGACGAAGCGGAGGAGATCGCCAAGGCTGCCAGCACGGCGCTCACACTGTGTGCGTCTGTTGCTGTCTCCCAGGCTAGAATCGCCGCGTGGGTGACGCAAATCCAGCGCCACCTCTGGCTGCAGCAGGCGTCCGTTACAGAAACGGCCAGAAAAGTGCTGCTGGATGCTCCAATCAGCCCGGACGGGCTGTTCGGACCCCAGTTCCACGCCATGGTGGAATCCATGAAGGCGGCTGCGGAACAGGCGGACGACATCCGCCAGCACGTCAGCTGGCTCCAGCCTGCTGGGCGGCACCAACGCCCGCAGCAGCCGCAGCAGCCGCAGCAGCCGCAGCGTCCAACCCGGCCACAGCGGCAGGCGGAGAGGTCCCAACCGCAACCGCGGCGTCAGCGCCCGTCGGCGGCGGCAGGGTCTCCGCCCCGCGTCTCCGCCCCGCGTCTCCGCTCCCCCGCCACCCCAGAGACGGAGGGGTCTCTCGGCGGTGAGCCAACGGGGAGGGAGGCACTCCCGCTCTGTATCCGCTCCACGTGAGCCTCCAAGAAAACAGAGCCGCCTTTGACGTGTTGGGGGGGATAGTGAGAGAAATAAAATGGGTTCATTTTCCAACTTTTTGTCTGAGTCATCAGTATCATCAAGTGTTTCTCACATATCCTCCACTCTGTGTAAACCAGCTGTCTATAACTTATCGGTTAGTAGCCAGCAGGGTTCGTTGCGAAAACCTGCACTTTTTAATCTATCGGTTAATAAACTGCAGAGTTCGCTAACTAAACCAGCTGCCACCAATCTGTTGATTAGTAGGCAGCAGGGCTCGCTGCAGAAGCCTGCTGGTTTTAACCTATCGGTTAATAAACCGCAGAGCTCGCGGCATTCCTCTGTCCGAGATACGTCTCCTACACACGGTCATAATAAACCCATGAGCGCCGTTATAACGCCTCATGTGGTCAACACTGCATACATCTCCATTCATCCCCTGAGCGTGTACACGCCTCATGATGAGAGCCAGAGTGAAACGCAGCGTGTGGAGGCTCCCTCACAGCCCTTTCGCTTCAGGCCCACCTTGGGTTGCCTCACAGGCAGCAGCGGCAAGGGCTCTGACGTGGCTCGTCGCCATGACGACCACAACACATCTCGACCATGTGCGCCCGCTCTCAGAGAATTTCTCAGAGTGGCAGCGCGTGTGTCTGATGGACAGATGGATGAGCAGGCTGATCAGCAGAGGATACACCCTGCAGTTCGCCTCCCCCCCCCCCACAGTTCAATGGGATACAGGAAACACTCCTGTCATCCCAAGAACAGTGTCTTGCGCTCCAGGCAGAGCTGCGGGAACTCCTGTTGAAAGAGGCTATTTCCAGGGTTCCTCAAGGGGAAGAAAATCAGGGGTATTACTCCCGTTATTTTCTTGTCCCGAAAAAGACAGGGGGGATGAGACCCATCCTCGATCTGTCAGTTTTCAACAAGGTCATAATGAAAAGGCCTTTTCACATGCTGACGATCAGACAGGTGCTGGAGTGTGTTCACCAGGGGGACTGGTTCACATCGATAGACCTGAAGGATGCTTACTTCCACGTAGCCATCATCCCAAAACACAGGAAATACCTGCGTTTCTCATTCCAGGGAATACCGTACCAGTACAACCGTCTGCCGTTCGGTTATTCCCTGGCTCCTCGCACTTTTTCGAAGTGTGTAGAGATGACGCTGCAGCCGCTTCACAGAGGAGGGATGAGAGTGCTGTTTTACCTGGACGACTTGCTATTGCTAGCTCGATCCAGAGAGGAAGTTGCTTTACAGACGGTACAGCTCGTATCACATCTGTCAAAGCTGGGTTTCATCATAAACTGGAAGAAGAGCTGCCCTCTTCCCTCCCAGAGTATTATTTACCTGGGTGTGGAATTGAACTCAGCCCGCATGAGAGCGCGACTCTCACAGCAGAGAGTGGAGGCACTGACAGCTCTTCTCCGACGCGTCACACCTCGCAGCGTGGTGACAGCCCTCTCCGTGATGCAGCTGCTTGGCATGATGGCAGCTGGTCACGTGGTGATTCCCCTGGGTCTCCTTCACATGAGGAGACTCCAGAGGTGGTTTATTCGCCTGCGCATCGACCCCGTGCGACAGAAGAGGCGCATGGTGGCCATCCCTCCTTCCGTGGGTTCAGACTTAACCTATTGGAAAAGTCCCCACGTCCTGTCAGCGGGTGTGCCCCTGGGCAGAGTTACGTCACACATCTCGGTGTTCACAGACGCATCTCTCTCAGGGTGGGGAGGAACGTGTATGTCACAGGCAGTGGGGGGACAGTGGCCGGCTCACATGTCCCTCCACATAAACGTGCTGGAATTGCTCTCCGTACGGAGAGTAATCCAGTATTTTGCCCCGTTGCTGCGGAATCAGCATGTGTTGATTCGCACAGACAACAAGGCGCGGCAGCCTACATCAATCACCAGGGCGGAGTACGCTCAGCGCAGCTTTTGAACACAGCCAGGCCGCTGTTGATCTGGGCGCGCGCACACTTGCTCTCCATCAGAGCAATGTATGTTCCCGGCGAACTGAACAGAGGGGCAGACCTCATGTCCAGAGGAGGTCCTCGCCAGGGGGACTGGAGCCTCCATCCCGAGCTGGTCTCCCAGGTATGGAGCCGGTTCGGGAGAGCAGAGGTGGATCTGTTCGCCGCACGCGGGAACGCGCAATGCGCCCTCTGGTTCTCCCTGAAAGCGCAGGACCACCCCCCCCTGGCGGTGGACGCGTTCGCACATCGACCATGGCCCAGGGGACTGTTGTACGCCTTCCCACCAGTCCCGCTGATCCCTCGGTTCCTGGACCGAGTGCAGGAGGAGCGACTGTCAGTGATCCTAATTGCCCCGGAGCGCACGGGCGCTTCCTGGTTTCCATGCCTACAGCGTACGCTGTCAGGCAGACCGTGGGAAATTCCGTGGCGCGGGGACGCTCTCTCGCAGGTGGAGGGAGCGATCAACAGTCACCCTGTGATAGGCCAGCACTTATGGGCATGGCCCCTGAACGGGAACACTTAGAGGGACTGGGCCTCTCTCAAGATGTTGTCCGGACCATTCAGGGAGCCAGGGCCGCGTCTACCAGAGCGTCCTACACAGCCAAGTGGACAGCTTTCCAGCGTTGGTGTGTAGAGAAAAGCCCGGACCCCATTACGTGCCCCCTGCCTCACATGCTGTCATTCCTCCAGCTGTTGTTGGACAGGAATTTGGCTTTCAACACAATCAAGGTGTATGCTGCTGCCATATCATCTTGTCATGTGGGTTTCGGGGTCGGGACGGTGTTTAGTCACCCCCTGATGAAACGTTTTCTGCGAGGAGTACGGAGACTCAGACCTGTGTCACGCGCACTAGCGCCTCAGTGGGATTTGGCTTTGGTGTTACGCGCACTAAGCAAAGCCCCATTTGAACCTTTAGATCAGGTTCCCCTTAAGATGTTATCAGCCAAAGTAGTACTACTTTTGGCTCTAACATCAGCAAAGAGGGTGAGTGATTTGTCTGCTCTCTCTGTGGCTCCGTCATGCCTCCGGATCCAAGGAGATGGCAGTTCAGCTGTTTTACGCCCTAACCCAGCTTTTATGCCAAAGGTCATCACAAGCTCTTTTAGGTCAAGGGTGATCACCCTGGATGGCTTCTTTCCCCCTCCTCACAGGTCGGAGGAAGAAGCCACGTCTCATCTCCTCTGTCCTGTGCGCGCGCTGTCCTGCTATGTAGCACGCACAGCTGCCTTGCGCCGTTCTCAGCGCCTGTTTGTGCACTACAGAGAGCGCTCGATCGGGCAGCCTCTGTCTGCACAGCGGCTGTCACACTGGCTGTGTGAGGCTGTGTCACAGGCATATGTCTCCTCTGGGATGGATCCTCCGGAGAACATTAATGCGCACTCCACCAGAGGAATTTCCTCCTCCACGGCTTTGCACGGAAGAATGTCAGTGGAAGACATTTGCACTGCTGCTTCTTGGTCTTCTCCCTGTTCATTTATTCAATTTTATTTGAGGGATGTCTCCCATTCCTCTCTGACACACCCTGTGCTGAGTGTCCTGTCAGAGTGAGTGACGTCAGGGATCCAGCTGTGCGCCTCTCTCCTGCCTCGGCACACGGAGAATGGCCTGTTTTCCCTCTTATGAGAGGGACGTCCCCCTTTTTCCCCCTGACACATTTCGTACGGAATGTCTTGTCAGAGTGAGTGATGTTGGGGACCCAGCTGTGCGCTCTTCTGCCTGTCTGCACGCAGAGAGCTGCTATTCCCCTCCTTTCTGTCACTGGGAAAAGTGTGACTTTCGTCTCTACTTTCTCACAGCGGACGGGTATGTATTATTCCCAGCCTTCGTCCTCTCATGGTAAATATTCATGTTATGATATATTCCAGGGACCGTGATGCGCCATTCGCATGGCGCAATAGGCATGGGTTATTATCTGAGCAGGTGTGTTTGTGCTTCTTGTACCGGGGCGACCCAGTGGGGCGCAGACTACATCTTGCTTCGCCCTTAACCCAATAGCGATAGCCTTAGAGGGCGAAGCCATATACGAAATAGAACTGAAGTTACCTACTGTAACTCCAGCTTCTATGAGTATTGGCGTAGCCCTCTAAGTTCTGGGCCCCACTGCCTCCACGAATAGCTGAAAAAAAGGTTTTTGTGTGGGAGCAGATTGTCGGGCCTCCTTCCTATTTATACCGGAAGGGAGCCCGAGGGTGGGGCCCACCTTGCGGGCGGGCGTGGACTACAAGTGTTTTCAGTGCTGCGCGGGTGCGCAGGGGGATTACCCAATAGCGATAGCCTTAGAGGGCTACGCCAATACTCATAGAAGCTGAAGTTACAGTAGGTAACTTCAGTTTTGTCTTCTCTTTGTAATGCTTAATCGATTTGAAACCAAGTCTAACGTAGCTTAAACTTAACGTTAGCTTTCTAGCTAACACAACACATTCACGCACCTTTCTCTGTGGGTTTTTTTGTAGTGACGAATGAAGTTGGATGTTGTGGTGGTCGTGTCACTGATCTTTATGCTGCAGACCCTGCATACCGCTGTTCTCTTCTTATTAGCGTCATCGACAACATAATCCTTGAATCCAAACTTCACTATTTGTGGAGTAACGCTAGCCGCTGCCATGTTAACTGACGCTCCTGCCGTCTAGTGGGTTGCCAGGTTTGCGCGCACGGCGCTATAATCACCCAATCACGTTTTTCGAAAAAACTAAATGCAATATCTCACTACAAAAACAAACGCAAATATTTAATTTTAAACAGACAAGTCCTTTCAAGTCATCTGTCTCAAGCTTAAGTCAAGTCTCAAGTCATGAATACCAAGTCAAAGTCAAGTCAAGTCTTTTATCAATGTTAGTCAAGCAAGTCTCAAGTCAAAAAATATGCGACTCGAGTCTGACTCGAGTCAAGTCATGTGACTCGAGTCCCCACCTCTGATAAATGGTTCTTAATGATTAATAAAGTGTTTACAAACTAATTCATAACCTAATTATAAACCCTTTATGAGGGTAGTCTTGTAAAGTGGTACCACAAAATGTAAATGGATTATTTTAGAACCCTGCTGGAAAGCAAACCTCTCCTCTTAGATCTTAAAATCACTTTTAGTCCCTATTGGCATGAGAGATGCTTCGATTACTCAATCGATAGAAAATGAATCGGCAACTTTCTTAATTTTCAATAATCGCTTCAGTTACATTCTAGTCAGTTCTCCAGTGAGAGTGTATGCTGCTTATCTGTTCTTTATATCCACCATCTAAATTGCATTTTATAATTTGTATTTGTATGTTTTTCATGTCTTAATGTATTAAATAATAACTTCTAGTTATTTTGTCTGTGAAGCTGTGAAACTTTGTTTTTGACATTGTATAGACCAGTGGTTCCCAACCTGGGGGGCGCGCCCCCCTTGGTGATTTGAGGCCAAATATCATATTTAGACTTTTTTATTTATTTATTTTTTTTTTTTTTTTTTACATATAATTTTAACGCAATACATGATTGTCACTAAAAGCCTTGTCTCTACATTACAATAAAATATAAAAAATAATTGATTAATTAATTTGAATAAAAATTCAAGTTAGTAGCTATTAGCATAACAAGACAGAAATGTATAATTCTTTCTTTAATAGAAATGTTTCTTCTGCCCGTAAAGTGTCCAAACCAGGCTTTTCTGGATAAGGTTTCAGATTATTTGTCACAGTTGCTCCGATCAGATCGGTCTCCTCCATTTTGTAGATTATTTACGACTTTTGAATCCACATAAACACATCGGCAAAATCCGGCTTACTTTGAACATGTGTTTTAAACAGTTTAATCCCTTTGTGAATTGTTTCCACTTGCGCCGTCCTTTAATTTCTTCATACAGCGGGAATCCAAATTAATTAATCCTGAGTCCAATAACCATCAAAGTCACTCCAATAGTGCTCCTTAATTACGCTTTCACCCTCCTTTAACAAAATACTTCACATTCATCCAGTTTGTGACAGTAGTTGTAGCATTTTTGAGACTTTTAAACTTAAATGACCACTGTTGCGCCCCCCCCCCCCCCCCCCCCCCCCCCCCTTGTGTGTGTGTGGGGGGGGGGGGCGCAACTTCCAACAGGAGTCATTTGGGGGGGCTCTTGGGAAAAAAGGTTGGGAACCCCTGGTATAGACCAAACAATAAAATGTATTAACAATACTGAAGCCTTAATCACATATAAATGTGGGAAAATAAATCTCTGTTGTACATGGTTTGGGTGCATGGTGCCGTAGTAGTAGTGGAAGTAGCCTATGTAATTGAATTAAGTAGATGGTTGGTAGTTAAAAGGAACAGTTATTTCACAGCTACCGTTCACTTGACTGATCTGCCCATCATTTTAATTGAAAGCTTAGGCTGAATCTTTTCCAAATGATTGATGGCATTAATAAACTGGGTAGAGTCTTACATTCTGTACATATAAATGAGACCCACTACAGACGGCTAAGTGGTCAGTAATCAAGGATTTTGTTGGTAGCTTTTTTGTAGGCTTATCCTTTAGTATTGCTATAGTCTATTATTTATCCTCTTCATCTGAAAAGCGTGGCTTCACAGTTTTAACTGATATTTCTCCATCTATAAACATTTCAAGTTCCTTCTTCGCCATTTAAATGTCCTTGTTAGATAACTTGTATTTTAAAGACAATGGTTATTTAATCATTAAAGGGGAACTACTGTTTATGTAAAAAACATTATAATGTCCTTGTGGCTCCAGAGAAAGCTGTAAAAAAAATCAGCTATAACTTGAGTCACGGTCACTATCCAAACCATCCAAATCTCTGACTGAACTCTAAGCAGTGGATTTGCATTGAGGTTTATGTAGGGATTACGTTTTTCCTCACTAAAATGTGAGAAATAAAAACAACAATACCTTTGGTTCTGCTGCATTAATATTGCTACCTTTTAAAATCTATCGACCGTGATCTTAACTGTCACGATCTGTCTGTGTTGTATTTTGTCTTGTCTTTTTCTGTCTTTGGTTTCCTGTTTTGTTTTGAAAAGTGTTCACCTGCCTGTTGCTTCCTGTCTCTGTGTTCCCTCCTGCCTGATTGCCCGATTGTGTTCACCTGGTGCCCCTGTGTTTTCTCCTCCCTCCTCACCTGTGTCTTGTTTGTGTGATTGGTCTTGTGTGTATTTTAGTTCTGGTTTTTCTGTCTGTCATTGTTGGTTCATTGTTTGTATTTGACTGTGTGTCACATGGTAGTGTTCTGTGTTCTACTTTGTACCGGATTAAAGGAATTATTCTTGGAAATCTGCATTTGGGTCCTGCCTGCTGCACTCAACCGTGACATTAACAGAGATACAGGAGTGTAATACTGAACGTTTTTCTGACATGAACTAATGTAAATATCAGCTCTGCTTCTGAAAAGTGTGTGTGAAGATGTCCAAACAGCAAACGTATCCATTGTATTCATTCACTGTGAGTTCACAGGGTTCTTGGACCATCTCTCCAGCTGTTTCCTTATGTGCAGAAATATAGCCCCACGTCGAGGTTTGCCAACTTCTGGGTTAAAGTAACGCAGGGCTGGA